TAATTTTCTTTAAATTTATTTTACTTTTGTTTTGCTGAACTTATGGAACATTCTTGCTGAACATTCATAGTTTGAATGTTTTTCAGATTTTTGTAAATTGTATCTATTATTTCTTTGCATTTTTTTTTTTTGTGCCAGACCCCCACTACTACAATGCCTGAAATTTAAAACACATTAGAACTTTCTTGCATGCGTCCCATAGGTAGGATATTTTGCTGTGGCCTTCCTTGCTGCTTTTATTTTCATATATTCCATTTCTGTGTCCCCATGCTCACAAATCCTGCCATGTCCTGTGTCAAAACTCCCATTAAAACAAAACCAAGTCATTTTTTTTTTTAAAGTTGTTGATGGACCTTTATTTTATTTATTTTGTGTGTTGCTGGGGATTGAACCCAGTGCTAGGCAAGCACTCTACCACTGAACTACAAAGCCCAGCCTAAGTCATTGGTTTTCGATACTGCACTTTTCTGTTTGGAGTGTTCCTGAATCCAGTTTTATTGATTCCAAATCTCTGGTGAACTTCCTAATATCTTTACTCACTTCATCTTTCCTTTCCTTGATTTCTTTAATATTTCAGTAACAGTTTTCTGAAACTATTTTTTACTCGTTTTAACACTGCAATCACTTTACTTCCACTGTCTGCTTACTATTCTTCAATTTAAATTTATTTTAAACAGATATATAAAAACATACAATTTCTACATATCTATGAAATTGCCTGTGATGTTTTCATACATGTATACATTGTGAAATATACAAATGAGGGTAGGCATATCTGTTCTCCAACATTTTTCATTTTACTATGGTGAAAACTTTCAAAACCCATCTTTTAGCTTTTTAAAAGGTGCAGAATGTAAATGTTACCTATAGTCACCTGCTGTGGCAACAGCACACCAGAAATTCTGACTCCTGTCTAACTGTAAGTTAACACCCATTGTTCAACCTTTCATCTTCCCTTTTTCTTCTGCTCTCCACAACCTCTAATAACCAAGGATCTTCTTTCACCTATATAATATCAATATGTTTTATGTTCCATATATAAGTAAGACCATGTGGTACTTGATTTTTTGTGCCTGGCTTATTTCGCTTAACATAATGACCTTCAGCTCCATACATTTTGCAAATGACACTATTTAAATATTTTTATAGTGGGATAGTTTTCCATTGTGTTGAGGTATAAAATTTTATTTATCAATCAGTCAATGGACACGAGGTTGTTTCTACATATTAGCTATTGTGAATAGTACTGAATTAAACATAAGAGGGCAGATGTCTCTTTAACATGCTTTGTTTTCTTTGGACATACACCTAGAAATTGGAATTCTGGATCATCTGGTAGTTCTGTTAATTTTTTTTTGTGGAATCTCCATCCTGCTTTCCATTATGGCTGTAGTAATATTCCCACCAACACTGCACAAGGGTTCTTTTTCTTCACATTCTTAAAGCACTTGATATTTTTTGCCATTTTGACCCTAGAATTTCTTACTAGAGTGAGGTGAAATCTCACTGTGGTTTTGCTTTGCATTTACATGATGATTAGAGATGTTGAGCATTTTTTCATGTATCTGTCAGTCATTCAAAATCTTCATTTGAGAAATGTCTATTTAGGTCTATTGCCCATTTAAAAATCAAGTTATTTATATGTTATTGAGTTTTTGGAGTTCCTTATATATTTTGAATACTATCCCCTCATCAGATATATATTTTGCAAATATTTTCTTCCATCATGTAGGTTTCCTTACTACTTTGCTGATTGTTTTCATTTGCTGTGCTGAAGTCTTWTTTTTTTCCAGTTTGACACAATACCATCTATTTTTGCTTTTGTTCCTCTGTATTTGCAATGTTTTTCAAAAGATATTTTCTCATTCCAATGTCCTGAAGCATTTCTCCTGTCACCCACCATGGTATTTTCATAGGTTCTAGTCTCAGATTCTTATGCATATTTCAAGTTGATTTTTAAGCTGGTGAAAGATAAGGTCTAGTTGCATTCTTGTGTATTTAGATATCCAATTTTCCCAGCACCATTTATTAAAAAGGCTTCACTTTTTCCAATTTATGCTTGTGATACAACAGAATTAAGAATAAAGCCAAATTTCAATAGAAGAACATTCACTTGATAAAACTCAGTATCCCTTCATGATTAAAACTCTGAACAAATTAGATATAGGAGACATGCATTTCAAAATAATAAAAGCATATATAACAGGAACTTCATATTGAATAGAGAGAAGTTGAAGGCTCCCTGTCTAAGGATTGGAATAAGAAAAGGATGTCCACTTTAACTATTTATATTCAAAATTATACTGGAATACTAGCCAGAACATTCAGGCAGGAGAAATAAGACATCCAATTTGGAAATTTGTAGATGACATAGTTTCATGCATATAAAATTATTAAAACTTCATCAAGGGGCTGGGGATATGGCTCAAGCGGTAGCTCGCTCCCCTGGCATGCGTGCGGCCCAGGTTCAATCCTCAGCACCACATACCAACAAAGATGTTGTGTCCACCGAGAACTAAAAAATAAATATTAAACAATTCTCTCTCTCTCTCTCTCACTCTCTCTTAAAAAAAAACTTCATCAAAAACTATAAGAATTAATAAACAATTTCAGCAAAGTTGCAGTATAGAAATCAGTAGTGTTACTATACTCCAATGGAGAATTATCTGAAGTAGAAATTAAAAAAAAATTCCATTTACAAGAGTGACCAAAAGAAGTACCTAGGAATAAATTTAACTAACAAGATGAAATATCTCTATAATGGTAACTGTAAAATATTGATGAAATTTTGTAGAGGGCACATAAGTTTTAAAACAATCTCTGCTCATGGCTGACCAAATAAATATGATTAAAATGTCCACACTACTAGAAGCAATCTATAGATTCAATGAAATCACTATCAAAATATCAATGACATTCTTCACAGAACTAGAAAACAATTTTAAAATCTGTGTGGGATATAAAATCTCCATATAGCCAAAGCAATCTTGAGCAAAAACAAGAAAATGGAAAACATTTTACTACCTAACTTCCAAATACACTACAAATCTTATATAATCAAAAGAGCATTGTACTGTCCTTAACAAAAAAAAAGACATATAGACTGATGGACTAGAACAGAAAGCCCAGATAGACAAATTTATAGTCAACAATAATGGTTTGTTATCTATACTCCTATAAGTTAATGAAGACATTATGTCCATTATATATAAATGAGCTGAAGTGTTTAAGAAAATGTTTCAATGCACAAAACATCATCCTTTCAACTACTTAATGATTTTTTTTTTCAGAAGACACTATTGAGAGATGATCATTTTAGGATTATATCCTCAGGATATGAACTGGACTTGGGTCTTTTTTGCTTTGGGTGTGGCCCTTGAGCACTTTCAATTTCAGACCTGGTGAATTACTTGCATCTTCAGGCCTGTATCACTTCAGAAGATACAGTTCTACCATTGAAAATATTTTAGTTTAATGGTGAAGTCACCTTCTACATTTTAATGGAAAATAAGGGAAATGTCTAAAATAGAGACCGGCTTCACACTTAAGACAATGTAAGCCCYCCCAAAAGTTTTCTGTAACCTGAAATGACCACAAATATTTCTTCTGGTTTCTCTATCTTAGAGTAGCAGGATTTTCCATGGGCTAATAGATTTGCAGCTTTGAAATCTGCCATGAGTTGATAAATGTGGCCTAYGAAAAGCAGTTGTAGAAACTTAGTGTCAATTCATCATTTTCTCCAGAGTTCTCCAACCTTGTCTGTTTGGTTATCAAACCCCTTCTGTAACAGTTTTTTTAAAATTATTTTACTGTAAATTGACAAATTATAATTGCATTTATTAGGTGAATAATTTGATATTATGATGTATATATATATAACATGAAATGACTAAACCTAGGTAAATAAAGAATCTATCACTTCAAATACCTATCTTTTTTGTAGTGAGAATATTTTAATAATTATTCTCATAGCAATTTTAAGTGTATAATTTGATATTATTTAACTGTAGTCATCAAGTTGTGCAAATATCTCTCAAAACCTTAATCCTCTTATTAAACTAAAATTTTGTAGTTAGTCCACCATTTCTCAGTTTTTCCTATACCCAGCCTCTGATAACTACCATTCTTATCTCTGCTTCTATGAATTCAACTGTTTTAATGCACTATTTAAATCAAAATATATTTTACATAAATCTAAATCTGTTAACTTTTCCTAAATCTATTTACTACCCATTTATTTATAATTTGACTGTTCTCCTTGCTCATTTGAAAGTTAATCATGCCTAACAATTTTGACCAAATTCTACACAATTAAATTCACCATACCATGGAAATTTTTAGTCCTTTTATCATGAATATTACATATGGTCCTATCAACATTTTATTTTTGTTTTGAGGAATCCTTTAAGCATATTGTTTAATGTTCAATGCTTTATAAAATGTAGACTGTTAAAGGTAAATGATAAACTGTTCAAGTTTATGCAGCCAGTAAAAATTTTGAAGACATATACATGCACTCACAAAAATTTAGAAATGACAAACAAAAAATCCAGACTATCAATATGAAATTCATCTAAATTTGATAACATGAGTAGTTAATTGAAGGTGAGCACACATGAAAATTGTTTTCCTGTAAAGGTGCAGAATAAATGCTGCCTACATTTCACGTCACAAGTGAAACTCAAAGTCAACTAGAAAAGTCAAAATAAGCATGAAAGGGATCAGTTGATAAATTATTGTGTTGATAACTCAAAAACTTTTAATAAGTGACTAATAGATCCACTCATGGATAGTGCCAATAGCACATATAAATACAAAAAGGACAATATATTCTTCCAGGAGAAAACTAAATAACCACTAATAAAAGCAATATGAATGTCCATTTGAAATAATAACAAGCAAAAAACTTTCAAACTATGCAGCAGATTCTTTCAATAGGATAAAACAGTCTTTTCAACATCTTTTGGTCAACGATAAAATGTATAAAGTATATATCATACCTGATTCCTCAAAGTCACTGTTGTAGGCTTTCCAGGTTTCAGTTATTCGAAGAAGATTCTCTTCCATGGCTTGGATGTCCATAGAAGGGCAATTACATTCTGGAAATTTGGGACCACACTGACACCAGCAGTCATTATCCTTGCAGATAAATTCTCCCTCTGAATTGCAAGCTATGTAGCTCAAAGCTGCTTGTACAAAACGTTCCTGAAGATAGTCTGGAAGGAGTACTTGAAGCCCTTGAAGAATAAGCAAAGTCATCAAACAAGTTTACTTTATAAAGAAAAAAGTGCAAAATATGTATTTATAACATTAAGTAAAAACAGTACAAATTTTAGTACATTATGAATGTATGTACAATTTAAAATTATTATTATAAGTTATCTATAAAATTGTGAACATTTATAGTTCTTTCAACACATATGCTGACTCTATGACCTTTTCAAATGTATTTGACTGGATCCTTGTTGCAATTAATCACGATATTTAGTTAGTTTTATGCAATGTAGATAAAGCCTTTTCTTTTGTAACATTGAAAATATATGTATGCATTTATTTTCCACTGTTTGATTTCAAATGATTTTTAATACCTTCATTTTCCTTTCAGAGTATCAGCCTACAGCAACACACATATGATACAATGGGTTTTAGTGAAAGAGTTCTGGAAAGTTCCTGGTAAAGCTTATTCCATTTTTTTTCTACAATGCAGGACTTATATGCTTGTATTGTTTAGGAGTAGCAACAACTGACTACAGAGGAGCAGATGGACTGATTTAGTTATTTCACAGTTCATTTCCTTGGCACGTACAAAGACAGCCCCAGTGACATAGCTCATTACTTTTCTGGATTCAAGTTTTATAAAGTTACTATCTCTTTAGAAAAGTATCAAAAATTTTAAAAAACCTAAAAATTAATATTGGGGCTTCACAATTATTATGATATATTAAGAAAAAACAGGGTTTCACTATCAGTATTTCTTGCTACATAAGAAAATTTAATTAGAAGGATAAAAATGAATTCAAAACTAAGGGACAATTTGGCCCACACTAAATTAATATTTATGATGAAATGGATCTTYATAATTTTTGTGTTTCCTTCAAAAAACATCATTTCTGTACCCTTGACTATTATCTATGAATTTGATTTATTAAATATCACCAATTAATATTTAAGAAAAAAGTCTACTTTGTAAATGCATTATAAACTATACTTATATCATTCTTTCAGATAAACTCTGTCTTTATTAGCCAGAAAATTACTTTATGCACTTATAAATTTAAATTTTTATTAATTTTTATTCTGTCCAAAAAAATATTTAATACCTGCCATTTGAAAGGTAATTGTTATGTAAGGTACAAATGTGAAGATGACAAAGTACTTGTAGTATGTTTAAGAAAAATAATGATTGACTATATAATAATATTATAGCTACATAATAACTCTTACAATAGGATACATRTAATTCAGTAGATATTATTAATTGGATAAGCAATTCATATAGGGCTCAGGAAGGCTAAAACCATTTTTCATAGATAGTTCTCAATATTGAGAGGTTAGTTATCTATGTCAAAGGAGAACACATTGACAGCATCACACACAAATAGAAGAATACATTCTTTAAATAGCAATTAATAGTATTGTTTCAATGGACAAGGTCTATAACAATGGAATAAGTGAGTTGTTAAGAAAAAACATTTGGAGTAATGTAATTGGTATTTCTGTATGATGRTAAAGGCATGAAATTAATTCACTTGGATTTAAGTGACTTAATCCTATAGGATACTCTGAGTAGTACTTATCTGGAAGTGAAAGGTATAAATAAAAAATGATTAATTTCCCCAGAAGGTTTTACAAAATTTGAACCAGACAAATAATGATGGAATGGGAAAATGAGAATGTACTAGACAATATTTTATTTGATGTAGGTGAAATTTGTCAGATGACTCAGAGGCATCAAGTAGTAAAGTAAAAAATATTTCAACTCTCTCATTAGTGCACTGCAGAAATACCTTGGGATTTCTTCTGAAAACATTCCTTTAAGAGCAAAAAATATACTTAATAAGTCTGAGTGTGTGTTGCCAGGTCTCAAGAATTATGATAAACTTACTAAAACATTAATTGTGTGTGGATCAGATATTTGCAAACTATTGGTCTATGTTTCAGCTTTGATTTTATAAAAAGAAAGAAAGAAAGAAAGAAAGAAAGAAAAAGCAATTTACAGAATTGCATTACAATTGTGTAGGATACTTGTAGAAACAGAAAAGAATGAAGTTATTGGGGGAGGAATGATTGGCAGCAAAAAAAAATAAAGAGTTCAGTTTTAAACATACAAATTTATCTGCTCTTGTTATATATATATATATATATATATATATATATATATATATATATAACAAGATACATACACACACAAACACGCACACACACACACACACACACACACATATATATATATATATATATAAACATTTGTGTGTTTGTGCTCATACACACAAGCATGCATGTACACACACCTAATACTCATAGATGGAAAATAAGATTCTGAAATATCAAACTAAAAATAAAAATGGGGGAAATAGGTTTAGAGATAAGCCATTTAAAACTTTGTTATTTTATAACTGTATCATTAGCAAAATTTATAAACGATACCTAGAGAAGTAACTGCCTTGGAAGTCAACTCAAAGTAACTTAGTGTTGCCCAAGGGAAAAATTTTGTAAATGTTCAGAAACAAGAGAATAGAAATACTGACCACACTGTCATTAGGGAAGGTCTACTGATACTCTTTAGAAAACTGAGCACAAAGCCTGGGAGTTGACTGTAAAAACCAGGATGGGAGAAGCAGGGCAGKTATACATGCCGTGAAGTGACATAGATGGATGCTTCCAGTGTTGGAGGACATGTTTGTTTTGAAATAAAGTTCTCATTGAGAGCAAGTGGAAAGCTTATAAATATTTAAGATAATCTGTTTCAAGGCATTAAAAGGTTAACTAGGCAGTAAGAATTTGTGGGGCTAACATGGTGAGAAGGAAATCAAACTCCATGGGAGTGAGTCAAACATTGAACATACATATTTTTTTTCCTTAGAATTTTTCCCAGTAACAAGGCAAAAATTGTCCCTTTGAACTAGCCATGCCAGATACAGTAAATACGTAGGGGTTTCTAAAACCAAGATGAACTATAAACMCAAAGAGAAAAGACAAAGGGAACAAGACAAGACAAACATATTAGCTTTCACCAGATCTGAAGCATAATTTCAATGGGCTCAATTTAAAATGGATTACAATACTTTTGGAAATCTTCTCTGAAGGAAAAAAAGAACATTAATATTGTTGAATCACTTTTACAAATCTAAAACACAACAACAATGATCTAAAGACTCTCAACCATGAAACTAAAAGTTAATTATAACCACATGCTCAAAAATTAAATAAGAAAACAGACAAGTTTGGTAAGTTACTAGAAATTATAAATAACAATCAAGTGTATATTCTGTGAGTGAAAATACATCAATTGGAATTAAGAAGCATTGATTAATAGCAGAATAGGTACAGCTGAAAGATAGTAAGCTGTGTCAGAAGAATGTATTTAAACAAGATTATAAAAAAGGACATAATTAAATTGCCATAAAATTTTTCTAGCCTTCATTAAATATGTCCATAMTAGGTCATTTCTATTATATTATAAATATGTGTATATTAAAATGTTATGGCATATCTATGTATGCACCAAATGGAATTTAATCCTTGTGATCAACATTTAATAATTCTTTCAAAAAATAATACATAAACAATAATAGTATATGTAATATAGAGATACACACACATATATTCTCTCCTGAAGTCACTTCATTACAACATATCTAATATTCTCCTCAAATATTTTATTCATAAACATCTCACCTTATTCATAGTCATACTTTTCCATTATGAAGGGAGATGACCTAAAATACATGTATGCATGTATATTTCCTGAGCAATTTAAATTAAATTATGTAAAGTGTTACATTATAGATTATGCCATACATAATTTCATGACAATAAGAATTTTAATATTAAAGAAATCCTTATGGGATTATCATAGGAATCACTAATAATATATAATTCTCTAGAATTAACTTTAAATATTGATAAATAACTTTTACAAATGGTGATAAAAATAGTGTTATAAAGAAGTATCATTCAATTATTGTTGTAATGAAAAAGTTGCATAGTGTTTCATCTTTTAAAATTATATTTAATTATCTAATAGTAACCTATTTATTCCCGTCAATTTTGTTGAAATAAATTGGAAACCAACTAACCTGAAAATTATTTGTAATTCAGTTATATGGATCATTCACTTTCTCAATTTCTGAGAATTTTACTAAAAAGTTACTATCAAGACTTACGCAACTTTTAATTACTACTGTTATCCTTTCACTTAGAGGTACTTTGTTTCATAAGATACAATCATAAGGGGTTGAGAAACTTGAAATATTAATTGCAATATATATTTTCCAATACTATGACTTTTTATCATATATCTTAAATATATTTTCATCAATAGTTTGGAGTTATAGATATGGTTTTATCARTTCTCAAAAAACATCTGCTCAGAAACTCTATTGGCAAAGTCAAAYTGCAAGGTCAAACAAGCAAAAACATCAAGCTTTCTCACTAGCAGCAAACATTTGATATCATTTTCATTAATTTTAGTGAAAATTAATATTTTTACCCTTTTCATATGTAGTGTTATTATTGACAAAATAATTAACAACTTCTTATATTAGTAGATAGGTCATGGATTTTTGTTCTGAATGTATTGCCTAATGTTATTGCCATCAGTAGTTATTAATGCATCCTTTGCTTTGCTCTGATAAAATTCTACTTTAGAAGCAATTATTTTTCTTCTATAACAGTAGAGTTTTAGAAGATGATCTTTACAGAAAAACTCACACATCTAGACTCCTTTCAATATTAAATATGCATTCTAAACAGCCCCAAACAATCTTATTAACATTGTAGAACTTCATCTTCTACTTATCACACAAAAATACACACAACAACAAATTATCTCTATTTATGTTTATCATCTACATATATATCCATAACAATCTATCCATTCAACCAAGTCACTAACAAAGTGTTATAGAGACAAGGACCTAAAATGGATTCTTAGCAATATCAAATTTTTCAATTGACTTATTCAGTGACCCAGGTTGAGGATTTTTTTTTCCCCTTCAAAGGAATGCATGATGGTAGTATTGATCCTGAATTGCTAAAGAGTTTGAATTCTTTTATAAAATAAAGATGAGAAGATAAATCAAGATGATACTGGGACTGTAATACAAATCAAAYTTAACAAAGAATACAGAGGATGTTGAGAATCTTGAGACTGGTTTCCAAAAATAATCCTGGAAAGATTCTTTACCCTCACATGTACAAACAGAATTAGAATAAACAATTGAAAACACAGGTCCAGCAAGTAAAAAAAATGTAAATATTATAAATGAGAGTTTCTGAATCATATAAATTAGAAGCATAGAAATAATATTTATACAAAAGGAAAGTGTTCCTACCTTTTCTTCTTTTTTAGGAGAGGATATTGAGGTTTTAGTTTCATGATATAAAATTATTTTGAAACTGTGATGATTTATAGACAATAAAATCCCATGTCTCATTAATATATATTTTAAACAAACCAATACAATAATCAAGAAAAATGATTTAAGCATGTATTGTCATTTTTTATCAAACTTAATAATTCTGATTGAAAGTTAATCCATACATCAGAAAGGAGTAAGAAGTAGAGATTACAAGTAATATTGCATTTTTATTTAAATTAGAGAAAATATTTCAATAACTTAAATCTAAAATTAACATTAATAAGTCAGATATCTTTTATAGAAAACTGAATACAGTACATACAACTCTAATATGCAAAATTCAAAATGTATATGAAAGAATAATAAGTCAAGATTTCCACTTGGATCACTCAACTTATTTTGAGCAATGAATGTCAACATAAATATTTTTCTGAGCTAGTTCAACTAATAAATGTGTAAACATATGTATTCATTAACTTTTTTGCCTTTAAAAATGAGGAATATCCATACCCATATGAACTTTTGGAATATGATTAATGCTGTCATGAGTAACAGTCTATATTGAAACATTTACCAAAATATGATAAAAGAAAACATGGCAAATCATCACCATTATCACAAAACAAATCTCTACAATGGAAATAATATGAATACAGGTATTTTCTTAACATAGTATCAAGTACATTTCTATTTATCTGAAAAAATTCAGCATTGGCTGACATAGTAAGTTAAATTTAAAATGCCAACAGTTCATTTTACACTGTAAACAAATATGGTTTTAASTTTCACAAGAATCTATTCGTAAAAAAGTCATATCTCAGGCAAGCCCATGCAGAAATCATTGTTTATTGAGACGATTATCATATACAAGAATAATATTGTTAAGATATATTTTCAATGGCTATAATATTAATCAGGGAAGAAAGTCAAGTTTTGACATTTTCTTTATCTGACCTAGAATGTTCATATAGGCCAAAAATTATGATATTAGTCTTTTATAAATGTTCAAAAGTACACATAGTATTATATTTATGGCTTCTTTTAAAAATATAAAAGAAATCACAACAGGGTAACTTCCCATCCAGAATCATGGAGCATTAATAAAAATTTTACCTACGTACCTTGCAACTGAATCTTATTCTCAGGACTTTGAACCAGAACAGAACTCACAGAATCTAGGTTGTCATAATTACTGCAGCCAAGAGGACCCGTCCGTGTTTCTGTTACCTGACAAACAAAGAATCAACCTTATTATATAGATCAGATTTTGCAATGTTCTTTCAGATCAGTGTAGTTGTCACATACTCACATTATACATTTGATGGTAAACATCACTAAAAGGTCTAGGATCTGATATATACTAGTAATAAATATATTTCCACTTTCTCTCATTTGGTCAGGGATAAATCTTCTGGGAAAATAATGGAAGCAAAACTCACATTAGGTCTCATATTTTATCAAATATAGAGCAATTGTTTTTAGGATAGAAATATTTTTTTTGTTTTTGTTTTTTACTGGGAATTGAACCTAGAGGTGCTTAACCACACTAAGCAACATCCCCAGCTGATTTTATATATATATATATATATATATATATATATATATATATATATATATATATATTTTTTTTTTTTTTTTTTTTTTTTAAATTTTGAGACAGGGTCTTGCTAAGTTCCTTAGAGCCTTGCTAAATTGCTCAGGCTAGATTTGAACTTGCTACCTCCTGCCTCAGCCTTTTGAATCACTGGAATTATAGGAATGTGCCACCACTTGTGCTAGAAAAAAAAATTAATTCATGAAAATTGCCTTTTGTTTGTTTTCTCAATAAATCAGAGCCCTTCGCCAAGCTACTTTTTAAAAAAACTCATTTTATTATTTTATTCTTCTACTTATGTTAGCATCAAAGTCTAAACCATCTGGCTTGTGTCTGTACTGTATCTCCTCAAAAGCAAATTTATCTCCCTGTCCTATAAAACAACCTCAGTTCTATGCCTTTGTTTCCATATCCCCACCTCAACCCTTCCTGGTTAGAGAGGTTCTTGTGTAAATGCACAGACAATGGCGAAGAGAAAGAAACACATGCAACATAGGGGAAACCAAAGCAAGAAAGTGGCAAGGTCACTACTGAGTAAGTAAGGTCATTTTATTTCATTACAGAGAATCTTTTTTGTTTGTTTGTTTCTGTTACTGTGTTATTGAGAATAAATGTATGAAAAAATAATAAACTGTTGAATTTAGAGATTGCCGTACCTCTGTATCTATATCCATGTTGCTTTAATTTCTCATTCACCATGAATGGTAATAAAACTCTATTATTAGTTATAATTTTATTTTTTTTCACAGATAAATTTATTAACCATTGTCTAATTTAACTCTTTGTGTCCCAGTTTTCCAGATGTGGAATGCCTATAGGATCTTAAATCGAACAACAAGTATACCAATTATGGCACATTTGAAAGAACCGTTATGTTTGTAGAGGTATATGTGTGTGTATATATACACACACACACACACATATATATCTACAAATATATATTTCATACATATGAAAATATATATTAAGGATATATAAGCTCTATATTTTAATTTTCAAGATATTTTAATTCAATTTTGATGACATTCACACAATTGAAAACTTCGGACTTCATGTGTTAAAATAAAAATGTACAAACTCCAGCACATTCTATGAAACAAACAAAACTATTTCTTCAATTATTTTATATTTAAGGATCCTATATATCTTATTAGTGTCRACTCTAATAAATGTGTCTGTATTTTTAAATGTGCATATATTTTAGTTTCAAACTAATAATGAAGTGAAATATAAATGAAAAGAAAAAAATGAATATGAAATTATGATACAGATATTTCTGTAGAGATTCTAAGTCTGACAAAAATGAACTGTGTAGATGTACCACTGATAGGTTGAAGTTTTGATCATCAGGTGACAGATGAAACTCTAATTTAAGGATCTTCATTTATAGAAAAAAATGTGTTCATTCAATAGATAAACACAAAAGGAGTTGACACTGATATTATAATCATTATTGATTATAGTCAAGGTTTTGAGAAATGGCACGCAGAGTGAGAAAAACATGCAAYACATAAATTAAAATGTGTTTCTTAAAACATTTCTTAGAATGTTTTTCATTTYAATTTATTCTAATCTCTGTTTCCTTGATTTCAATATATCGTCCCAGAAAAACAAGCAATGAATAAATTAAAATGAAAAACATTCTAAGAAATGTTTTAAGAAACACATTTTAATTTATTTAGTGCATATTATAAAGAATATGTTGAGATCAAGAAAACACGGAAATTAGAATACATAAAGCATGTCCTCTCTACAGTGTCAAATTGGGTTGTGGTTTTTACTGAATATTCCGAATAAAAGTACAAGTGCCTGAACGATTGGGAGGTTAAGGGGTACACTGGGGAGTTCAGAGCAAGGAGGATATGGCTTACCCAGCTACAGCATGTGATGTTGAACATTTCCAAAATTAAATTTGAGAAAGTTGTCTTGAAAATATGTCAAACACGATTTTGGTTCTATAAAAGAATATATTTGTGAACTGTGTTTAAATTATATTGTAGAAGTCAATAAGAATGTAAAGTGTAGTAAATTTAAGAAAAGGCAATGTATGTCATTTTCAATTATTTGTTTCAAAGTTTTCTATGTAGTTTCATTGAATTATTACCTATAATCTCACAGTTGGAGAATCTGATAAGGAGTAATAGAAAAATAATCTTCCTTATTCAAAGAGATGGCTTATAAGTAATTATATAAACTAAGTACAGATTCAAGTGTGCTTACAGTAAAATAAAATGTGTACAGATAATTTACTTGGAAATAAACAATCTTGGCTACTTCATATCAAACTTCCCTACAGTATTATATGTTCAAAATATGATGATTGCCTCATGATGATTATCATGGCATAGTAATGTATTGGGGTTATGGAATTAATTCATGAAAGATTAGTTGAAGAAAAACAATCTTAAGCGAAAAAAGGAAACAATGAAAAGAGGACAAACAAAAGAAGAGTAAAACAACAAATATTATTCCCAAACAAAAAGAGTATTATTAGAGTCAACTGTCTTCAAATTTACATATTATATATTAAAAATATTTCTTTGCAAAATTCTTATAATGATATATAATTTTTAWAAATAGATGAAAGGAACACACCTGGGTTCTAGCTCCAAATACTCAATGGAGAAGAATTTATCCCAGACAAAATGCTTAAAATTTGGTGAATATGAAATGAAATAGTTTATGAAAAGACTTTACTGTGGTCTTGTCCCATAGCAATTACTTCAAAATATGTGTGAAGAATTAAATGTTTACTATAAAAACACCAAGGCACAAAAATAACTCTGGTAGGAATATCCCAGAATTATTCCTCTTCTAGCACCCAATCAAGGTTGTATTATAATACTTTTTCTGATGTCATTACTGGATGCTACTATGTTTATTTTTAGACAGAGACAGGATGCTTTATTTTCAATCATACCAAATCAAGTTCAGCCTTGAATCAAACTACGCAAATTTTTCCCCAAAGTCACATTAATATGTAGTCAATGCCTAATACAGAAAGAATATTCCATATGACACTAAGTGAGAAATATTGCTTAAAGAAAAATGAGCCATTCAAGTCCATAGGACAGAAAAGAAAAACAGCGTTAATATAAAACCAGAAAAAGTTTGTCATCCTTTGATATAGAATACACTTGAGGAGTCTATCCAAAAACATAAGTACATGAGAAAATGTTTTTCATATTGAATGAAAAGGGTAAGAGAAAAAGTTTATGTGCTTTGTAAAATTATACATACACCCATATATTTTATTGAGATCTGTGACTTATTGCTCTAGACTTCTTTCAACATGAAGCAAAATACTTGTTCATCGTTGTCAAAATGATAAACTGATTATTGTTTCCTCAGCAATTCAATAAAATGCATGATCATATAAATACTATATACTATATACTTAATGCAATTCAATAAAATKYATGATCATATAAATACTCTATACTATATACTTAATACAAATCTATAAAATATATAGTCTATTTAAAATCTACATTTTAAAGCTTATAATGCTCTTAGGAACTTTTTTCTGATGTTTAAGGAGAAGTAATTTTTTATCTTTTAAGTTTCCACAGAGACATAGATAGGTATCCCCCCTTATAATGACTTGTCATCTATCAACTTTTTATTGGTTATAAGACAAGAAAACACAGAGAGTAGCRATATTTTTCTTGTTCCAACCTGCCATTTCTAATAACAAAAGTAATAAATGCTCATGTTGGAAATTCAAGAAATGAAATAAATTACTATCCCAGAGGAACAACAGCTAATATATTTTTCTATTYTTACTTGTTTAACGTCATCATTTTTCTACACGTGAAAATAGCTGTGACTAGGTCAATTCTTGTTCAGGATTATTCTTTATTCATAACACTAAAATTTGTAGGTTCTATCTTTTTTCAGCCTTTTTCTCATTAAAAAATTTATATTGTTAGAGTTACATTTGGTTATATCAATGTAACTTTTAAGTCATTGCATACACCATTGATTACCCATGTCAAATACTGGAACAACGTAGCTTATTCACAAAAGAATTATGAACAAAGAGTGGACCTAGGATAGTCCTTCCCAGTTCAATGTTCTCTTGTAAATATCGCATCTTAACTGAATAACTAAAAAAACCTTAATATTGATTATTTTGCCTTTTCTGTGTGGTAGCAAGTGAAGTTCATTTAAATATTTTGGACTGGGGTGGGGAAGAACTGGTAGTAGTACCCACATTCAGACAAACTTCCATTCCAGTCATTGCTTACATTTGTCAATGTTGCCCACATCTTGACAACATTTTCCTGAGATTCATCCTACCACACAGTGTCTTCTTKTCCATTCCTTCAGAAGTATCCTTCAATTCTTTAATTATCGGAAACACTATGTTTTCAGAAGATTATACTAAAGTACATAAACTATATTTGGCTCACTGTATTTCAGATAATGACATCTAAAATGAGATCTGAGATTTATTTTTCAAATATAAAGAATGATGTATTCTTGCATAAATTTTTCCTCAAGGAGTCATTAATTATATGACATTTTATTTATTAAAATATAAACTTTATTGCAATCCGTGTAAATAATGAAGGTCTCATATGCAGAATATGTAAAAATATTATACAGACAAATTATAAAACAACAAGGG